CCGGAGGCTAATGCTCTACCGCTAAGCTACAAACGCCCGCTTCACGCTTCACGCTTTAACTCAAATCAAGGCGTTTTGTCTAGGAGTCATAATTAATTGAGGAAAACAGACGCTTCTGATTAGTTCCCAGCGCTTTTGAGATACAGTGTTTCGTTGCTAAGGTCAGATGAAGAAATACCAAGCGTTTTTCGACGTTTCCCTGATGTTAAACCTTTAAGCACACTACATGAAATGAATCAGTATTTATGCACAATTTCAGTCCTTTACATGCTTAACATTGTGAATGTTTTCTTGCTTGAGCACAATAAAAGCTCTAAATAGCTGAGATACGAAGCCTTGCTGGGAACCGTAAGTTTCCTCGCAATGGGGTTAAGTTATTAGTGCAGCCTATCGTAACTTATGGCATCTGCCAGTTCTTATACAGTAATCTGACTGCGCACTCAGGATTTTTTAAAGTGCTCAATCTAGATTCCACCAGGCGACTACCAGACTTACTTAATTACAATGTATTCTTTTGTCGGAGTTGAATAATGCATTTAACCATTGTAGTTATTAGGCGGACTCTAGATTGCTTACGTCAGAAATCCTGCTTTGGTAGTCAGTTTCCTGCAGCAGGCTTGATAACGTAACCCAAATGAGATTAATTTCAAGGACCCCAAATTTGCCCAATAGCACAGATCCTTAGAGTATTGGTTTTACCCATGCCTTGCCCTTAGTGTCGTTAGTTCTAATTCCTTTAAGGCCACATAATATTTTCAAAATTGATATTAAAATCTGACAAACACCTATTATAAGTAATATCCAAACCATACTTTTTGTTATAATACAACCTACGTAATAAATGACAAGGCCAGGATTCCCAAAGCGAAAAAACACGGCAGTAGAAACTTCTGGTCATAAAGCAACCTTGAGCTAAGTTCTAGGGAGTGAACCTATACCGTTCTCCTTATTCTATTCAAACACTAACATAAACCTAAACTTCAGTGTTAAACTTAATATAGTTAGAATTTTGCTCAAAGTGAACTGCAGTATGCGGTTTCCTCTTCCCAACTCCCAACGCTAAAATCTGAATAAGAAGCTGATACCTTGCTAGCTGTCACGCCAAAGCGAGGTTAAGGTCAGACAATCTATGAATCATTCTATCTTCTCCCGGATCTCATACTAAATGGCAGCTCTTTCTATATAGATCGTTTCGTCAGAAGTGTCCGTTAAGCTTATCACCAATGTAGAAAAGGGGAAAATTCCCTAAACTTGCAAAATATCCAACTCCGACGGCTCTGGATGTGGATCTTAGACCCTGGCTCACGGCAGGGGAGGGTGATCTATGGCATACAACTGGGAGGCCCTTAAAGTGGATATCGGTGGCCGCGGAGTGTCAAGCAAGTTAAAAAACCTAGAAATCAACCAACTGCTCGGTCCACTGTTGGGTGAATTTAACCCCACAAATCTACCTTTGTGAATCATCATTACGAGAAGTGGTCAAGGTGCGAAACCGCGTGGGCCCTTATTTGGCACTTTGGTCCAGAAGGGTCACAAAATGTCGAAAAATGAACCAGTTGAACACTTACAAAGAACGTCGCTTAAAATACCTGCTTCGAGTGGCGCGCATGAAGCCCACGAGCCATGGAGAGGGATGGTGCACAGATCTCACGATTTTCTTTAAAATTGATGTATCGAATATCTCAGTTGAACCACTAGAACAAACAATGGACCGTCTTCTGGTGAAGGTCTCTCCCTCTGGGAGACATGTGCATGCCATTCTCATATGCCGATGTCTTTTGAGATATATACTTATATACCTACTATATGTAATTAAGTAGGCCTAGCTATGTTTATTGGTGCACTCCAAAGCTGGGAACTTTTTAGCTGTCTGTGGCTACTTTCAGTTTTATCAGTCCTAGTTTTAGTTTTTAGTCTACTATTTGGTTTATTAGTTTCGTTTTATTTATACTTCTAGTTAGATTAATTTTTAATTCAATTTTGTTTTCTTAGCAACGTACGTTTGCTTGTTGGCTTACCGTACTACAAGAGCCGTCTGAATACCTGAAAAGCTATCACGAAATTAAAAAAGGGAAAAGCCTATCATTCATGGCTTTATTTTATTCTCTAAATTGCAATATAGAGTTGGTATTAGTTTGCAGCCTATTTGCAGGTGCCTTTTGCGCAGGTCTTGTTTCTCATTGCTTGTATTTGTCGTTTTAATTATTGCGCCCAAATGTTTGCTTATCTAAATCATTATTTCCCATTAGTTTCTGCTTTTATAGGCTGAACTTTATAATTTATTTTTATTTCCTATGATATGACCCAACCATAAAGCCCCTATTAACACGGCTCCCGTAAGACAATGATGAAGTTAGCAATATCTAAGTACCTCAGCATATGATAATGTCACCGATATATGTTTAGTATTGCTACTTGGCAAACCAAGATGCTGCAATTTATCGCGATTTTGGTATGCCAGTTTCGTTCTCAGACCTCCCACGATGACGGCCGGATAGGCAGTTTTTTCAGTACGCTTGACATTGTTATAATTTCTTATTTTGGGCTTTCTAAGAAGGCTAGGGGTAGTGAATCGAGCCTGTGAAGAACTTATTAGGTACGTGTTGAATTACCGTCCTAGTGGACTGCTCACAAAGGTTCGGCATGGTCGCGCGTCACCACCCTGGTCCACTCCGTTCACGCTTGGGTACAGAAAAAGTGCACTACAAGTCGGCGCAGTGCGCAGTGACTCGTGACGCGCAGAAAGATGATAGCAACTGCCGCTAGAATTCTTGGAATGCATGAATTCACAACTAATTAAGACGACGATGGCCACAAAAAGGCAGTTCTTCCGTACGTTACAAACGTGTTGAGGGTGGGGGAATCACGATAACGCAAATCATAGGCGCGCAAACGTCTAGCTGTAGAAAGTCAAAGTGTTGGCCATGTTTCGCTAATGCAAAATATTATTGGACAGTTCTTTTATTATAAGAAAGTGAAAGTGTTGGCGATGTTTTGCTAATGCAGAATATCATTGGACAGTTCTTTTAGTATAAGAATTAGACGGCGTCCCATGCAATCAGTAATCGGATTCACCTTTGGCGGTTCAGAAACTTGATCCCCCGATCAGGCCCTCCTCAAGAAATCAAAATTGTGCATACATCGACATTAAGTTTTGCAAACTCTAATGCTCTCCTTGAAACTACGAAAAAAATAGTCTCAAACTGTTATAATAAAAGCTTCTATCTAAAAGTGCTGATGGTACATTCATGGGAGATACCAAGCTTTTGGAGGCGAAGCCCAATAAAACTTGCGCGGAGAAAATGAGGGTTAAATAAAATTCATTTTACCCTTCATGCACTTCTTACGTTTTGAAAACGTCTTCTGCTTAGGACACTTCCTTCGACACTTAGCTGTTTTTTTTATTTTTTCGGACAAGTAGACATTTGCGCTTGCTGCAACATACAATGGTATAATAATATCAGAAATTGTACATCAGTAAAGATACATGATTTCGACGAGTATTTGAGAGATGGTGGGATTCCCAATTGACGCAAGAACGTCTTGATACACGGGCTGCGTGGACATCCAACGCTTATTCTCAAATTCAGAAATATCTGAAAATACTCGTCTTTTAAAGTCACTTTGGTCGAATGCATGCAAACTACTTAGTTAGTAGATGAAATTGAAATAGAACTGTAGGGTTGGCCTCTTGCCTACAAACAATACTGTGAAAGTATAGAAAAAGAAGTTCAAAAAAATTGACCCATTAAATAATATGTTATCCGTAAATCTGAGTGGCTGTCTAGGTTCAAGTATCACAAATAAGACCCAGAATAAAAATAAACCAAGTTTGAACAAAAAATGACTCTTGCATTCAGGAAAAACTGACGCACCTTCACATCTTTTCCCATCTGGGTGTAGCTCATAGCCAATTTCACACTGACATCTGTAACCACCCAGAGTGTTGACGCAGATGTGTTGACAACCATGCTTCGTTGTCTTGCACTCGTCAAATTCTGGCAGATGGAATAGAGAGAAACTCATCTAGGCAATAACCGGCAATAAACGCCACATGGAATGGCCACAAAGTTCTACGTTATATAAGGCAACTTAGAAAAGAGGAGTTTTTTTGGAAGAAAGTCATCTTGAGTTGTTCAAGCAATTAATCCTGCTAATGTATTCCCTCTCTTAAAATGTGAATATTTTGTTACGTTAAAATTATATTCTAGCCACCAGCTCATGATACGTAGTCCTCTAAAATGCATAGCACAACCATAGATTTTTAATACCAATTGGTCTACACACAGCATGAATACGATAAAGTACAAAAGTACAGTTTAATCATTGGGTCTTAGCCTAAGCATGGCGCGTAATCCATTGGAATTCCTACGCATAATGTACCATTCTTCAAGTATTTCATTTTTTAACATATTTTAATGCGGAAGGGCTTTCTTGAGGCTAGGGCACCATCTCATTTTGGAAGAATAGTACCTGCACGAACATTTATTTATGAAATATTAATTAGAAACAGCATGCATCATAATCCCTTTTATCATAGACAGTTAACATATAAGGTGTCACATACTCTTTCATCTCCCTTGTTGTTTAAATGTGAGGTATATGGGCAAAAGCATTTACTGTGCTTTTCCAATATGACGTTTAGCATATGGGCTACTCAAAATGCGTATTTAAAAATAGTCTTTCGTTCTTATGGAACAAAATGTAAAATAACTACAGCTTCCCGGTACAATAAACGGTAGAAAAGAAAATTCACTATCAAACTTCAGAAGGCATTTCGGTTGCTTTATTTTCAATCGCACGCTAAGTATTCTTTAAAAATAAAATTAAGAAAAAGATACAAAAGTGCTGCCTAGCAAGGAATATTTACCTTTCTGAAACTTGGCCGTAAAGCCCTGTTTTTCAACTGAGCTGTCGGAGACGAACCGCACATACATCATGTTGTTTGTCGACTTTATTGGTGTTGGCAGATTAGATCCACATAGTTTTTTCAGCAGCGGCGAAGTTTCCGCAAGACCGTCGCGTATTTCCAGATAGTCGTAGACGCAGTTGTCATGTTTTTCTATCTGTAAAAAATGCAAAGGTAGTGGAGGGTAGGGGTTATATGATATAAAACTCTACGAGTCCTGTAGTTCCCTATAATCCGCATAGGTCGCCAACGCTTTTCGGCATTACAGAAAACGCAACAGCATCATCTGTATGAAAGAAAACTGTTCTGTAACTGTCATTTTACAGTGGTAAGGGTGACTAGGTGAAAAAGGTTTCTCAGCACGAGTGAGGATTTACGGAAAATAACGGAGCTAACAAGTAAATGGTAAAACGTTGTTATGGTCTAGTGCAAGACCTGTGCATATCAGCGACACACTAAGTCACAAATCGAGTGCCAACTATGAAATTTAAACATAGAAGACAGGTTTCTAAACTGAGTGTTCTGATTAACGTACAGGAGTTGAGGATCAAAGTCAAAATCCTCATATTTCAGTTGCAGCCCTATTTGTGACCTCAAACACTTCTGATATCGGTGGGTCACTTTTTTTTCGGAAACTGACTTCGAACTGTGATGCGGCCAATATATCAAAGTAATAAGTAAATGCTACAGCAACAAATCATGTGTCTTTCGAAAAAAAGCGACACGGAAGACAGTCAGAACAATGCTGAACTGAACATTTGAATATCATTCTTCTGGAATAGCTTTTCTCTCCACAAATACATCATTAGCCGCCGTTCGCAGAAACGCAAAAGTGTTTCGACACATAAAGAATACAAATATTTACAGACAACCCACTTAATAGTCAGCATTTTCTGCATTGAGGACTCCTACCTCATATCTCCATCTCCCCTACGGAGTCACTTACTTGGTGACTTCTTAATTCCTCGTGGTGATAGTAACACTATTTTGACATTATCGTGAGAACGTATCTAAACCTTTCACGCAAAGATTCCAATCTCCTTTAAGTAAATTTTAAAATCTTGTGCAATAAGATTGGAACGCATCACATATTTCAAGAAAAGCATTTCGTTTGAGAGTCAGGTGGTTATTCCCGGTACCGGTCTTGTTATCATAGTGAGTCTACAATATAGTATAAGAATCAGTTGAAATATCTGTGGTCTTAATAACTGAGTCATATTCATTACCATCACAGCTTGAAATACCAATTAAACCGCGGACGTTGAGGCTGGAATAAACGCACTGTATAGTCTTCTCATCGCGTTCAGAAACATGCAAACAGTCCATTTTCTGTGTCATGAGATATCGACTGAAATTCTGAAGTGCGTTTTCAAACTAAAAGCGCTAGTCAAGCATAGCTGTCATATTTACCATCCCGCAGCCCAACCCCCTGACATTTCATTCCCTTCAGGATACAGGTCCGTAAAAAAACTCCATAATAACGACTTCTTGCGAAGTATACATTTTCTGGATTATTTTTGATGTGCTTAAGTATTCAAATATATTTCACTAGAAAAAAGGCACAAAACATTCTTTCTTGTATAAATTTGGTAGTAACCTTCATGTTCTTCTAGCTGTATCCCTAAAAGAGCTTATCTTACGGAACTAAAGTTTCTCTAACTATGAGCTTTTCAGATAGTGAAATATTAAATTATAAGCTATTGCATATATCCCGTTATTAATTCTGTTTACTAAGTAGGCAACATGATCTATATCCAATTAAAACTTTCGTGAGCGCTCTGGGACGTCTTTCTCTTAGCATAGAAAAGTTGGTTATATCGCTCATATGAAATTTATACAGCTGTTGAAGAACACTTAACACACATTTAGCGACAGGTTCCGGTCAAAGTGATCCGGGAATTGAAAGTTATTTTTTTAACTGGAAAGAAGACGAAATTCGCTGGCAAATGAGCACAATAAAGTGCTATACAGTTTATGTTATTTTTTTATGGGCTTCGAAAAGCAGGGATATATAGTCATTTTTACAGAGTTTTTTTATTTTGCAAGCGACTGGAAAGAATTTTCGTTAAAACGTCGGCATCTTGAAGAGAATGAAGTATTTTGGGATTAGGCTGCAAGATAGTAAATTTTACAACTATGCTTGAGTAATTTTTTTGAAACGAAAATACCTTTCAGAACTTCTTACAAGCTGCTCAAATTCATTAAGAAAAGCAGCCCTATTATGCAGACGTGATTCTACTTTAAAACAGGTTGCTCAACTTTACTAGTGTCTAGAAAAAAAATTCAGATTAACTTTTGGCGATCGACGTGATTTTCACAGTAGTCGGACACATTTCATCGGAGTTTGAGATTAACACCCTGCATTTTGCATTACACCCAAACAAAACCGGTGCATCCTGGGCACGGGTCTACCTAAGACTTGAATTTGGAGAAAGTCAAAAATAAAATTATACTTTATTAAGATCAGACTGGTACGATAAGAAGATTATGCTTAATAAAAAAGGTGATTTGGACCAAATCAATATGAACTGAACTTTTTGATGTGGCATATAGCAAACGGACTTTTCCATTAGTTAAAGCCTGCGGCTTTCAACAACTAATTTTAAGCAGTCGTTTGCTTGTTATGACTAGGAAACGACGGATGACGTGGAAACTTTGTGTACTTTATACAACGTTATTAAAACCCAAACATTACGATAATAGCGACTGAGTGCATGTTTGCGTTTTATATCGGAAAACACTAGCATGCTAACAGCTAAATACCACCAGTGGTCCACCGTTAACCGATTTTCTTACTGTTCATATGCTCCCACAGATAACCTTCCTGCAGAACGACACAGTCATCTCCTGACAGAAAACCTGCCCTCATTTAAAATGTCGGACACAAACTCAAGACAGATGTCAGACGGTGAATAGGAAAATGGCACTGCATTAAACGCGAAAGAAATGAGTGCTTAACCACTGTCTTAACTATGTCTACAATTAAATAACTAAAACCCAGTCAATTTTCGGAACTTACATCAAAGGACTGGAATGTGAGAGCGACGGAGAATCCCACTGGGACGACAATTTTCCAAATGCATTCCTTGTTTGGTTTGTAAAACTCGGGGTAACTGGGACTTGTAATGATGCCCTCCTCCTGTACAACCTCGCCGCCGCATATTGCTGATGTTTAAAAAGGAAAAAAACTCATAATCAGACAAACGGGAGACAAAAGCGGAAAGAAACTGGTAGTACAGGTTTGGTGACTTTTACGGAAAATAGGATATTTAACAAGTCTTTTTAAAAGCTCGCCGGAGGTTCAGACAAGTTTTTGAGGTAATTTTTCTTGAAAAGTACGCCCATGTCTTACTAGTGCTATTACCTCATCAAGCGGAAGGTGGACGGGGCACGCGTGATTTATAGCTGCGATTATTTTGTCGGTCTCCTCTGGAAAGGATGCCTTCTTTGCTTTCGTGCAAGTACCCGAAATTATGCGATGGAGACCCTTTTGATTTTACTTCTGGTAAACTGAAATAATTATTCTTTTGAATGATGCAACTATCATCTTCATGTTGCGAGTTAGATATGAAAAGTCAGTTTTCGAAATTATGAATATAGCGAGTTCCCCTAAAGCTTATTATTAGTGAGTTGTGGTGTGGAAATACCTGGTTAAAGTAGTGAAATTTGTCACGCTAGGTCAGAGCTACTGACTATTCACACAATATGGAATAATGCACTAAAAATTACTCATAGATTTACGCAAGAACAAAGGGGTAAATTCCATACTCTGTCTACCAAAACAAATGTTAAATGCATTTGCGTTGCTTCAGGCACGAATGTGGGTAAATTTTCGACTAACTAAGATGACTGCTTGGGCCACGGGACTATGCGTTTGTTTTCAGGCGTTTTCGAACTTGCAGAGCAGTCAGTGATACCAGCAACGCGTAAAACCGACATATGTTTCTTAAGCTTCTCTTAGCTTTTAACATAGACTCCTGCACGATTTCGAAAGCTCAGAAAAATAGACAACTTGTTACGTTGCTCAATCAGCGCCTTATAATAGGTCAATGTGAAAATTTTCTTTCCATTGTTGCCGTTATATACCAGAGCTAGCCGACAACCACAGAGTAAGTGAAGCTACACAAAAAAGCGCTTTGGCAAAGAAACAACTGAGCATTTTTTTATGCCGAAATGCTTTGACCAAGCCAAACCAGAAGACGTTTGAGTAAACAGTTTGGGCGGAGTACCTATATCTATAACTTGTCCATTTCTTTTCAGTTGTGTTATGCGACGGTGAATATTTTGCTAGCAGTCAACGTCTATGCAATGTTTATTCGGACCGCAGCAGGAGAATTTGGTGAAATTATGATCGACCACATCCGCCCAGTTATCACTAGGACAAGTTGCCAGAGAACGGGGAAGCATAAACATTGCAGACTCATAATATGCTTAATGAAGTAGACTTTAACTATAATATTCTAAGTTGAGGACGTTTACGCGAATGTCACACACCCGATAATCAACTGAACGAAAAGCCTCCTCAAACAGTAAACTTCAGTGGGGCGTTTTCTAGTAGAAGAGTCGGCAAAAATAGCTTATGTAGTCCTTCTCATATGCCCCGCATCCCAGCATTTTGTCCTATGAAAACGGTGGTTTTAGGGTTCTGGGGGATGAGGAAATAGGATAGGCAGAGAAGTGAAAAATGTACTCGAAGTTGTTTCCCGCGCCGCTGGAAGTACGTTGTTCCGTATGTAAATTTAAGGTGTGCGTGGCGCATCGCGCCGCGGACTTTACTAATCTAATTCCAGAACGGACCTCAGGTAAGTTGAAGTGGACGTCCTCCCAAACATCTTTTCCATATTTCGGAATTTCGAGAAACTTGCATTTTGATAATGGGGTTTTCCGTAAAACGTTAAACGATAAAACAGATTAAGAAAACTACAGATATAACTCAACAACACTTCGAAATAAAATAAAATAAGAATGCATATAGCAGGTATTTAAGTATATTCCAATGCGTTTCCTAATTCTCCACCCACAAAACCCTATAACCACCGTTTTCGTAGGACAACATGCTGGGAACAGGGATTAATGTGGGGAACTACATAAGCTATTGTTGCCGAAAATTCTTACACTCCAATCCTGTTCGGAAATACTTTCGAGGGTTAAAGTATCTTCCATGATACTGCGCTGGCTTATGCGTGCAAGCAACCAGCATTTTTAATGGTCTGAAGTGCAAGCATTAGTAGGACAACAGGCGATAGAGCGAAGATTGTTCGCACTGCAAAATTATTTTTATTGTGAATGAGCTTTCCGCGTGATAGGTGTAGACGGCCATATGTTGTCTAAGTTGTCAAAGTAAACAGTGTAGAGTACGGAAGATAAAAGTTATACAACTGATAAATTGGAAACTTGGGATCCCAGGAAATATAATTTGATTGAAGAAGTTCGTGGGGCGACATGCATTAATAGGCACGTCGAGTGGACGCTATGTACACCAATCTCAGAGAAGCCCGGAAAAGACGGCTACCAATCCGGATTAGACGCCAAATAAATAGCACTGCTATTGATCAAACATGACTAGCATTATCGACTTCTTCCGGTATGTTTAAAAGTCTCACTGTTCTGTACACTCTCCACGACCTGGTGCGCCAGAGTCAAAAATCCAAAAAAGTTTGTTAGCATTTCCCAGCCAACTTCTTCCACTAAATTACACAACTTTGCAGTTCTCTTACAAACATCTCTGGCACTCGTGTTCAGCAACATAGGCAAGATAACTAAGAGAGATATAGCCAGGAGACAATTTATTGCTGATTAAAACCAAAATATACTCGACATTATCGGATGGTACAGTGTTTATTAAACTGACGCCTATTGTTCTGATGACTTCTAGGACATATTCACAACACCCTGCCCTCTCTCCGAGTCCTTTGAAGCATTACAAAAATGTTACCTTGATATTCCGCCACGAATCCAGTGCTCAGTGATCCAGCTGAACGTCTGTACTCAATCCACAACCTTGATTTAGAGGAAACCAATGTCGGAGGTAGTTTCTTGCCACAGTAGCGACCTGAAGCGTTTAGAAAAACTGTTGGCTGAAAGGCGTAAAAATACCTCTGACACGCGATTGTGCCAAGTGTGAGGCTGAAAAGGAGTAATTAAGAATAGGCTGATTGGAGCGCGGCTTGACACCGTACAAGATAATCTTGGCATTTGGTTTGCGTGTAGTGCGGCTTAGCTGTTGCACAAAATATCATACAGCATAATCCACTTCTGTCCCCCAGTTGTTTCCTTCACTCAGGAATTCCCCTAGAAATGTACACTAGTTACTTCAAATTGTGTTGCTAGAATCAGCGCATGCAAGACCATATTCCAACCGCACCACAGTAGGCTTACTTCGCAGCTGTCTGAAAATGCTTCTGCTTCAAAAATATCATATGATTTGTAGAGAAGAATGCCAGTGGCTGAAGGCTCCCTGACCATGCGGAATTCAGGCGTATGTGAGTCCGATAGCAAATGACACCATACTTTCATCCTCTTTAAACCAAAACTCCCAAAGTGTGTTTTAGAAACGACATGGCCGGACTGCTCGTCATCAACAGAAATTAGAATTCTACAAGCAGTCCGGTATAAGTCGTATGTAGGCTTGTTTTACAGATCGAAAGTGAATTCAAAACGCGTATCCACCTTACACACATAGGACAATCTCCGGGACCCTTCCAAGACAGCCTGCTAGCTTACTGACCGGTTGGTCAGATGCGACTATTGCTTACAGTCAAAAAGAGCAACAACGAGCGCAGCAAAGGTTCCTGGACTGGTAACCGGATCCAAAATTGAACGATGAGACTCTTTTAAAAAGTGGGGAGTGCTGTCATGCAAAATCTACTAGCTGAATGTCGCTAATTCCTCCGACTTCAGGTAGTATAATGTGCCAGCGCGCAAAAACATTTTCTGAGACCTGCCCGTTTTTTCAACATCAACTGCGAGAGCGTTCCATTATAGCTGTCTCACCAGCTCATCAATGTGGATTAAATTTTCTTGACTTCACTCTCTTGCCGCTGCTCTTTCATATCGTCTTCCCCCTAAAGGAACTATACCCAACCAGTAGGCGAACACACGGTTGAAACCTTTGTCACCTGCAGATAAAAACCATTCAAGAATTTCCTTTTACTCAGCTGTGTAACATTCGGCGGCCACAGTGGTATCCGAACCAATGACAGCTGGGGAAAGTCTCTAGTACAGTTAACGCTCCAACCACCTGACCTACGAGGCCTATTCGGGGGGTCATGAGTTCAACTACACTTTGGTAGTCAGGATACTATATCAGAGCTGGTGCATTTCATGCGTCGCAGTAGCTTTTAAGGTAAATCGACCCAAGTGTAATTAAACTCCCGGCTCCCGGGGAGGTTTCGTAGGTCAAGTGGAGATTTGGCGTGGATTCGAATCCTATCGAATCCAATTGGGCTAAATGAATCAATAAAAACTGCCAAAACTGCCATTATTGAAGAATTTGTGGAGACAAGTCAGTGCGATCTGCAAAAATAATCTCTAAATATGATGACGGAGATTGTAAGATAAGACACCTGCAATCTTAGTCCTAGTAGGTTTTATTTCAATCAATTAATAAGGGGTTTCGGGGCTCAATCGCAAGTCCTGCCGCTCAATGCTTAGCATGTTATAGACAGAAATACATGACTGACAAAGACCACGGGAACTGGAATGGTCATTTCTGGCTCATAAACAACCCTCACCCAGATGTTAAGTTACTTGAGGCTTGGAACCGCGACCTTCTTGGCTAGAAGTTCAGTGCGCTAACCACTACGCCAGGGGTTCGCTGTCTTGCTACTTTCGATCGGGAATATACACTATGGTAAATGGGGGTGCTCATCGTTTGGTTACAGGACTGTCCCATTCTCCCCACCAGACCGCTGACCGACTTGGACAGTGGCTGAGAATGGGAGAAGAGTATGCGTCCGACGACTCAGCGCATGTTCCTTCATATAAACAAGCTGATGAGCCCGGAAGTAGCACGGCGCACTAACAGACGTAACTTGAAAGTTTGCAACCGGACCTCGCAGTCAGTACACTATGCTAGTGCGTAGTAGCCAACTGGTGGACTGAACGTCAGGCTTCATAGGTTCGTTCTTAGTGTGGCTTCTATGGCACGCCCACTACGAGCCAGGTGTGGCGTTATGCCCAGGTGTTATTCGGGCTGCGCTAGCCATCTGCGCCCTATCCCGTTTCCAGTCTTCTATACTTGATAATATCACCGGGCCTAAGTGGGGGCAGAGGGAGA